CAGTGCCCAACCGCTGGGTGGGGGAGGAGGGGGAGGTAAATAAACTGGGGTCCATCCAACGGAGTGCAAACCCAGGTTATCCGTCCAAGGCAGGTATTGGAAGAATGTTTCATGACCTAGAGACATTTTTGTAATGTATTAAGTTAAAAAAAAAAAAAAGCATTCAGATCAGCGTACACAGTGTTAACAGGGTAAGTCACTTTGTAACGGAACTGCTGGGTGTCGAGGTCTATAATAATGATCAGCACGTAGAAGGTCTGGAAGGAATCCTATCAAAATGTCACTAATGGTAAATGCGCTCAGTGGACTCATGGGTAGTTTTAGATTTTCTTCAAAATTTTTAGAGCAAATAGTTGCTCCTTTTATCACTGGGAAAGGAAACGGATTTAAAAACAACAGGAAAAGCCCTTTTTTCACCGTGTGACTCGTGGGAGCCTCGCCGGGGAGTTGCTCCAGTCCCTTCGTGTCGCCACTGAACTCCAGCCAATTCTGTCTGGGGGCCTTACCATCGCTGTCACCGTTGAGAAATCCCAGGGCGGACAAGGTGCAGACCTGGCCGAAGAAGGTGCTCGCTGAGGACACTGGCAGGCATGCCCCACAGAGCAGCCTGTCACCTACAGCTCACGGCAAGACCCCCCGGCTGTCCCGGCGAATCCACAGCAAGCCAACGCGTTCTTTGATGGGCCACGAAGCCACCCCAGGGCAGAGGACAGTGCCCGGCATCTCTGCTCCTTGCCGGCAGCTCGGCCGCTTCCTCGAGGACAGGAACAAAGTCCACCGTCCGCACGGGTCTGGATTGATGTTTCTTCTCCCTTCCCTCCTCTTTCTCTTATGCCCGCTTCGGCGAACCTCAATCGTCCCCTTGTTCTTCTGTGTAGATGAGTGTAACAGCACGGGAATAAACAACTCTGTGTCTGGGTGGTTCTTTGACCTTGTACTTCCCTGGTCTTTCCTGGTAAATGGCGAGTTCCTGGGGAGGGGGGTCTCCGTGTCTGGTGTGATGCCACCAGGGTAACTTGCGGGCTGTCGCAAGACCTCAACCCTCTGATGTCACTGTCGTTCTAAGGTTGTTGAGGATGTTGTTGGATACGCTATGTGATGATCCTTGGGAGAGATCCTCTCAGGGTCGAGTACCAAGAATGGTCCAATATCCATGAACAATCAGCCCATTTTCTTTCTTTTCTTTCTTTTTTTTTTTTTTTTTTTTTTTTTTTTTTTTGGCTGTGCTTTGAAATATTTATTTTATTTTATTTTGTTTTGTTTTGTTTCGTTTTGTTTCATTTCATTTTATTTTAAATTTATATCCAAGTTAGTGAGCCTATAGTGCAACAATGATTTCAGGAGTAGATTCCTTAGTGCCCCTTACCCAGTTAGCCCATCCCCCTTCCCACACCCCCTCCAGCAAGCCTCTGTTTCTTCTCCATATTTAAGAGTCTCTTATGGGCACCTGGGTGGCTCAGTCGGTTAAGCATCTGACTTCGGCTCAGGTCATGATCTCGCGGTCCGTGGGTTCG